TATCACTCATATGACATCCTTCAGCCTCGACTGCTAAGGAAAATGAGAAAACTGTCAATCCTTAGTTTTCTTCATAAACATATAAAAATCATAAGAACCAAAACGGGGGCTGCCATTGCTGAGCCCATGATCATGCTTGCTGATTGGCCGTTATTCTGACCCACTGGCTTTGAAACTCAGGTTCTTTTACTAAAGGAATTTAGGTTGTTTACTCTGCCAAGTGAATTTTCTCTTAGGGCCTATTCACACCAACTGCAGTGTGTTCCAGAGCGGTAGCTGCAGGAACGCACAGCAAATCGCTCACTAAACTTAACCCTTTGTACTGAAGTCAATGGCACTGCAGCCACACCCGTTAGCGCAATCAGGGTTCTGTTCCACTGCGAACGCAAAAAAATGCTGCATGCTCTATTTTGTGTGTTTGCAGTCCGCATGTTATGCCACTCGTCCGATTGTACTGCGGGCGGGGGAACGTGGCAGCAGGGCCATTGACTTCAATGCACCCCCATGCCCCCTCCCATCCCAGAACGAAGAGGGAAGTTAGTAAGCGATTGCTGTTAGTTCCAGCAGATACCAATCTGGAACGCACTACAATTGGTGTGAACAAGCCCTTAAAGTGACACCAAAGTCAGGAGTTAAATCTTAAAAATGCATTCAAGTACCTTATTAATACTGTACCTTATTTGTGTATCACTCGGCTGCACGGTAGATCCTCAAATCCTCTCTGAATTGGTGCCAACACTGTCCTTCCTTCTGGAGGGTGGCTACCTTTGTTCCCCATGGTCCCTGTGTGTGTTGTAAAGTAGCCACCGCTCCAAGATCACTCCTGTGATGGACTACAATCTCACTTTAGTTTATGAATTTGTATTGAGATCGTTATCACTAGTGATGGGCTCGGGCATGTTCGCAAGCACCTCGTGCCGAACCTGCCAGGAAGCCGTCAGCGCGCAGGGCCAATCACAGGCACTGAGACATGTTCCCGGTCCGCAGCTGCAGAGATCTGGTAATGTCTTGGTGCCTGTGATTGGCCCTGCGCGCTGATAGCTTCCTGGCGGGCTCGGCACGAGGCGGTTGCGAACACGCAATCACTAGTCAGCACCAATTCAGAGAGGATTGGAGACTCTACAGCTGAGTGATACACAAATAAGATATTTTTGTTAATAAAAAAGGTACTTGAATGCATTTTTAACTCCTGAGTTTAGTGTCACTTTAAGCAGATCATACACTGGTAGATATTCACATGAACGTTCACATGAAAACATCTCATCAGAACATGTAATACCCCGAGACACAACGTGCCTTTTAAATTTAATTTGGTTTTCACATTCAAATTTGGAATGAATGGAGTTTCTTGAAATAAAAACCACATTCACTGTTAGAATTTCATTCGAGAAGAAAATGTCCATCCTGATTTGGTTTCATCATTGCGCTCATCAATATCACTTTAAAATATTAGAAAATTAAACGAACGTTCCAAAAAATTATTTTTCAGACGAAATTCTACTGGTGTATGGTCAGCATTAGCCAAGCGACTAAGGTGAAGCTGTGCAGACTTCCATCATCCAAGCCTTTGTAAGCAAAAATACTGTCTTCTATATCTATTTGAGGGGTTCGACCCGGTGAGGTATCTGGAGAGTGATTTTTAGGTTAAGATATATTCCAGGTTCCCTACAGTAAAATTAAATTGGTCAGGTGTGGAATGCGGCTAAAAACCTGCTGCGCGTATCTGGCCCCACAGGTTACACGCCTCTATGGAGGAATGGCAATCTACCTGAACTTCTTCCCCTAGAGGGGTTTAATTCCTGGCGCAAAGCAGGTGTTTATACTGTCAACCAGCTATACCAGGAAGGTGCTCTCTGTTCATTTCACTCCCTTCAGACTGAATATAATTTGCATAAGAACTGCTTTTTTGGGTTCCTCCGGGTGTGTCATGCACTTCGTTCGCAATTCCCCCAAGGGGCTCCAAACTTCTGTTCTACACCAATTTTTGACACGTTGCTGTCTGCTGTACAAACTAAGGGGCTGATTTCCTTTGTATATTCTCAGTTTATGGTCAAATCTGCATCCCAATGCCCATTGAAGTGCAGAAAGGGATGGGAGGATGATCTAGGTTCTCTCGAGGATGACATTTGGGATGAGGTCCTGGAAAATATCTCTCAGGTATCCCTTTCAGCTACTCACAGACTAACGCAGTTGTTTGTGGTCCACAGGATATATCGCACTCCGGAATTCCTTTTTAGGATCGGATATCGGGATGACCCCTTCTGCCCTAAATGCGGATTCCATCAAGGGTCCCTGATCCACCTATTGTGGAGATGCCCTAAGCTGGTGCGCTATTGGCGGGAGGTCGTCCGCACTCTCAACTCTGTCTTTAGCGTCCAGATGGACCCCTCCCCCCGATTGTGCCTTTTAGGTGTATTTGATGATCCACTCTTTGACTCCCCTTTATTGCTGGCCCTCAGAAGAGCACTATTTACCGCCACCCGCCTTATTGTGCGTAAGTGGATCTCACCGTCCCCTCCTACGTTGGCTGACTGGTTGGAGGAAATGGATAGAATCATAGAATTTGAACGGGTCACCTATCAGTCGAGGGGTTCAGAGCACCGTTTCTATTCCATATGGTCTAATTGGCTGTCTTTCCGCCCCGCGGGGTTGTCCATTTGATTCCCCTCACACAAGCTGTTGGCACTGTACGTAATCATCTCTCATAATGCAAGTGCAACCCAGTTAGTCCAACTGCATCAGGAGACCCAGTAGTACCTAGACGCTCTTTTTCTTTGTGCTTAGTTAAGTAAGAAATAGAAAAGAACTAAGTGATAGACATATCCCTGTGGTAGGGGTTAATTACTGGTATTAATTTTTTGTTTTTGTTTTATTTGTTTTCTGTTTTTCTTGTGGTGTTTGTTGATTTCTTTAGACCGATCTGCCTGTTCGTTTGATTTCCATGCATATAACTGCAGAGATATGGGACTGTAAGATCTTGTCTCGTACATGTGTTATACTGCGTGTGTGTAAAACGTAAAATGTCAATAAAAATTATATGATTTAAAAAAATACTGTCTTCTTTTTCTTGCATGTGATTAGGTATCCTTGGGGAAAGTAAACCTTCACCACATTTACGAAGTGAAAGTTTGCTTTGCAAGGTGAACATGGTCTAGTTCTTTAGGACCCATTTACACCACATCCAGCTCATCTGCAGACCAGACCAGATTGTTTCCAGACCCAAAATGCATCCCTATACTATTTCTGGTCTCTGCTCACACCAGAGCAGTCTGTTCCAGACCAGACCAGAAACATACTGCATGTCTCATTTTATCTGGTCTGGAATGTACTGGAACTGCAGACAGGTTCACACCATTGTCGGGAAAATGGTGTGAACCTGCCCTTAGGGTTTATGCACACAGGTACAGAGGGCTGTAGACTGTAAAAAAACAGCCACAGAGGTGCTGTGTACATATCAATGACTGCACACAGGTAAATGCTGATCTGGGCGTATACATGTGTACAGATGGTCTGTATCCAGGGACACATGTATACTCTCAGATCAGCGATAACCAGGGGACAACCTCTTCCCATCATTGACACATACAGAAAGCTGCACACAACACCTGTGACTTCGGTGCACAAAAACAGAGCCTTTTGTTTTTTTAAAGCTTAAGACCCTATGCTCTGTGCGCACAAACCCATTAACCCCTCTGAGTCACTGATCCTGAACAAATATGCAGATGGAAAAAGGAGGAGAAAAGTCCAGGTGAACACAAATGGCCGAGGTCAGTGATTCAAACCAATGAGCCCCCATTCACAGTAGTGCAGCAGGTGAACACATGCAAAATTCTGCGTGCAATCATGAAACCTGGGCAAAGCACACGGTGCCATTCGTTGTCAATGGCATCCAAGAATGCACGACACCTACACTGAGTTACATTTTAAAAATGCATTCAAGTCCTTTAACTATTAACAAAAATGTATCTAATTTGTGTATCACTCGGCTGCTGTAGATCCTCAAATCATCTCTGAATTGGTGCTGACACTGTCCTTCCTTCTGGAGGGTACTTACATTGTTCCCTGTGTGTGTTGAAAAGTAGCCACCACTCCAAGCTCGCTCCCATGATGTACTAAATCTCATGTTTAGTTTACTAATTGTATTGAGATTGTATCCCATCACTGGAGCAAGCTTGGAGCGGTGTCTACGTTGCAACACACAGGGACCATAGGGAACAAAAGTAGCCACCCTCCAGAAGGAAGGATAGTGTCAGCACCAATTCAGAGATGATTTGAGGATTTACAGCCGAGTGATACACAAATAGGATACACTTTTATTTATAGCTAAGGCACTTGAATGCATTTTTAAGATTTAACGCCCGAGTTTAGGGTCACTTTAAATGCAGACATCCCAAAGCGGTGCCACGTTTGTTATGCACAGGCCAGTGAAATATATGGACTGCGCTATACGTGACAGGCGACAAACATACAAAAACACAACGCACACTTGCCAAGTTTGGGCCAAGTCACCGATCCTGAACAAGTATGCAGATGGAGGAAAGCCCAGATCTTTATACTCATCTCAGGTCAGGCATTTAAAGCACTGAGGCAAGTGGGTCAGCTTGACACCCAGGCAAAAAAGCCCTCATGGGCAGGGGCCTCCTTACCATCTTGTCTTGAATTGTGATTGTAATGTCTTGATTGTATTGCAAAGCATTGCACAAGCTGCTATATAAATCCTGCATAATAATATTATTAATAATAAGCAGCACTTTCCAAAGGAGAACTGAGTTGAAGCATGCAGTAGACTCAGATCCATGTTTTTAGGACTAAGGGGTGCAGTAGGAGTTGCTGTTGTGCTGGAAATGAAGCCCCTACACATCTTATCAGTACACCATGGGGTATGACCTGTTCAGAAGTTCTTACCCAACAAGGGGGAGCTCTCCGGGCAGTCAGGTAGCACCACTTCAGTAGATTCAAGTTCGGTCTCCTCTAGGAAGTCAAGGAGACCGCCACGCTGCGGGGTCACCAATCCGCCCTGAGAGGACTCCGCCGTAGCTTTTCCCTCCTCCCTGGAGGAGATAAAGACAAGGGGACCGCCTGGCGTGGTGCGGCTGGTGTTCTTGCTGGAGTTTTGTCGCTGCTGGTAGAAGTACTGGAAGAAGTTCATCTCCCTGCCGGACACATAGTAGACCAGGGTGAAGGCGAGGTGAACGGCGCAGAACAGCACCAACAACTTGCAGGCTTTCTGCAGGGAGGTGCCTGGCAGCACGGCAGCCGAGCCTTGCAATAGCGGATCTTTCATCGTGCCCAAGAACAAAAGAATCGAGCCGCCGCTGAGAGAACGTAAGTGATCACACAGCTACCGGGAGCCGAGCATTGTGCTCAGCTGACTCTACTAATCAGTCCTGAGACTGTATTGCAACATCCATGCTACGTACAGGGAACCGTTCTCAGTGACGTCACGGAGGGGGGGAGGAAGGGAGAGACCCTAATCAGCCTCACCGAGGCTCCGCCCCCCACTACCTCACACGGTTCCCAGTATTTCGCTGCTGGGCTCGCAGATGCTGAGGCTGGAGCTGCTGGGGATCGAGTTGGACCGGTTCCTGATTCAAGCTGACCTCTCTATTATGAATTCACTTCAAAAAGACTGAAAGACACAATTATAGATCTGATTAAGGTTAGGTTCACACCGCAGTGAGAACCGTGACTAACGATCGTGTGCTAGTGCACACGGTGGTTGCAGTGCGGCCCCACTGATTTCAATGGGGTGACATCCGCACGGCAATCGCTAAAACAAAAGGTACCAGTTCCTTTTTTTTTGCGACACACAACGCGCTGCTTTTTTAGCGGCGGGACTGGGGTACCATTAGAAAATAATGGCACCCACAGAGTGATCGGCTGCGGTGGGAGACTCTGTGACCTCGCGGCAATGTGCACGATTGCCACACGGTCAGGCGTTGCCCAGGTGTGAACCTAGTGTCGGACATTTTCTTCAATAAAATGAACAGGTTGTCATGTAATTGTCCCCTGTAAATGCTTTGGGACTCACACAACATGTATATGTGATATAATGTGCAGTATATATATGTGTTATAATGTGGAGGGATATATAGTAGGGATGCACCGATATATCGGCCGCTGAAACATATTGGCCAAAAATTGCACTTTTATCAAAATGCCGAAAGTGCCATTTTTCTGCCGATATAGCGGCCCATCCCTGCTTCCTCTCCTCCCCGCTGGGTGCTGCTCTGTGTCCCACCGGGGAGGAGAGAACCTCACAGGTGGCCGACCCACGGCAACCAATTAGCTTCTTTTTACAGTTTGCTCAGGTGAGATTTGAAAATAAGGCCCCGTTCACATTGAGCGATTTATCGCGCGGTAATTCCCGCGATATCGCGCCTATTTACCGCACGATATCGCGCTCCAATGCTTGGCAATGGGGCAAAGGGTCCTGCTGTCGCGGGTCGTGTGTCGCTACAGCAGGACCCTTTTTTGAGCGGATTTTGCCGCGATTCAATGCGATATCGCGCAAAATGCAAATCGCGATTTTCGAATCACGCAGTGTGAATGGGGCCTGAGAGAGTGATGCGGATTGGCTGCAGTGCAAATCTGCTCCAGATGTTGTCTGCTCCAGTTTTGATAAATCACCTCCAGTGTGTTTACTATATCCTCAATTATGAATGAATGGGAAGTGATCTACATCACCTCCTGCCCATTCATGATTTGTGGTTATAGTAAACAAACTATGTCCTCATGTCCCTCCTCATATATCACTTCCCCCTCCCTTTTAGATTGTAAGCCCTCATGGGCAAGGCCCTCCTTACCAACTTGTCTTGAATTGTATTGTGATTGCAATTTCTTCCTTGTATTGTAAAGCGCTGCGCAAACTGATGGCGCTATATAAATCCTGTATAATAATAATAATAATGTTATGAATGAACAGGAACACTCAGTATAGAGGATTCCTGTTTATTTATAACTCTGTGTCATCAATCTCTTTTTCTATTTTAAAAAGAATATATCAGGGGTCTGCTTAGACCCCCCAATATTTCCCAGAAGCACCTAAAAGTAAAAAAATAAATATTTTATATAAATAAAAATGTAACAAAATGTAAACGTTTATAAAAAATAAAATATTTGAAAAAGTTAGAGCTAAAACATTTTTGGTTTCGGCCCCCAATTTTTTTTTCATTTCGGTGCACCTCTAATATACTGTGTACACAGTGTAATATGTATGTCTAGACTAGAGGCTGCAGAAAAAAAGATTGAGGACTATGTGTCCTCAATTTCTTTTTCTATTTTAAAAGGGAAATATCAGGGGGATTTTTAGACCCCTAATATTTCCCCGAAGCCCCCCCAAGAGTAAAAAAATAAATTACGAAAATTAAAAATAAATAATGAAAATAGAATAAAAAAATAGTAAAAAATAAATTTAAAAAAACATTGTTTTTTTTTAATGCTTGTAGCAGCCAGTCTTGTTTATGTATTTGTTTGCTTTTCCTGTAACTAAGTTTGTACACGCAGCATTTTCGCCAAGTAAAGTACTTTTAATGCTACTGGGTCAGTTTCCATGAAGTTTATTGCAAGAACAGACAACAAATAGAAATTAAAGTTTTGCCAAGCTTTACAGCTGGGCTCATCCTTGGGATAAGCTTGACGTCTCTGGGATTTGTAGTCCAGAGCATTACAAATGCAGGCACATTAGTGCCTGCATTCCGGTCCAGTGCGATCTGCAAAAATAGTGCTCGCAGCATTTTTGCGGATCGCACTGGACTGGAACACAGGCACTAATGCAGGCGATCGCACTGTGGGCGAGGGGCCTGCCTGCGGAGCCTGGCTGCGGTGCCATTGACTTCAATGCACCACCACGCCCCCTCCCGCCCCTGAATGCAGGTGTTTTTTCGTTGGTAGATCTCAATGAGCTCGTCATTTGAAAGTAGATCTCCAGACGAAAAATAGTGGGCGCCCCTGGTCTAGACAGACCCCTGATATTTCCTTTTTAAAATAGAAAAAGGGGCACAAGGTCCCCAATTTCTTTTTCTACAGCCTCAGGAATGAATGAACAGGAAGCCCTCAGTAGAGAGGCTTCCTGTTCATTCAGAATCTGGAGATGGTAAGTATTTACTATCAACCCAGTCATGAATGGACAGGAAGCCTTTGTACTAAGCTGCTTCCTAAGCCTTTGTACTGAGCTGCTTCCTGGTTATTCATAAAGTGAGCAGATGGTCAATTTTGACTGTCCCCATTCATAAATGAACAGGTAGTGATGTATAGCACTTCCTGTTTATTCATAGCTAGGGACATAGTAAGCTTACTATGTCCGTAGTTATTTACAAACACTCAGTGATCAATATCGATTGCTGAGTGTTTGTGCTCCGCTCTCCCTCCTGACTGCCCTGCCTGTCACAGGAGCCAAGCTCTCCTCCTGCACTTCCCCGCTCGGCATCCTGACAGGCCTCTCCTCCCCGCACCGCCCAACTCGGCATCTACAATCTCACATTTTGTTAACTAACTTGTATTGAGATAATAGTTCATCACAGGAGTGAGCTTGAAGCGGTGAGAAGTTACAACACACACAGGGACCATGGGGATCAAATGTAGCCACCCTCTTGAAGGAAGGACAGTGTCAGCATGAATTCAGAGATGATTTGAGCTGAGGGATACACAAATAAGGTCCAATATTGCTAATAGTTAAGGGGCTTAAATGCATTTTTAAAATGTAACTGAGTTTCATTGGAAATACAACAGCATACACTGATTTGTATTACTGAAATTCAGAGATGTAGTATTGTCTTTTGAGCTGTAGGTGGCTCTGTGGTGCAGTGTTGGTCTCTATGCTTATGCATGTTTTACCTATGATATATACAGGAAGTTCTATATGCTGTAAATGCTGTATTTGTCTAAGCAAGTAAAACTTAAGTCAGCATTCCTCAAGACCTCAGTGCTTCATCTAAACACATGACCAAAACATTTAGTGTAACTTGAAACAAACAATCAGACTACTATCTACGTAACAGAACCACCTATTACCACTGCTCAAGGCACAGTGGGATCTGGAAGCTCATCATTAAGCCACTCTGTGTTGCACCCCCTGAAATTCCATCTCACACCCCCAGGGGGGTGCGGGTACCCCAGGTTGGGAACCCCTGTTATACAGGCTGCCTTTTGTTTTATTTTTTTTGCTATAGTGACAGGGTTGCTTTAAACACCCTTTATACAACATACAGTATATTAGGTATCTCCACACGCCTCACACCAGAGGTAGAAGAATATGTTTTATAGGCACACGTCACATTGCTGTTGGATATATTTGGTAGGATGAGAAGCAGTGCAACCATAATCTACCACTCCTCTCTACTGTCATCGATTCCTGCCACTACCTCACTTCGACTAGCCAACGTAGTAACTGTAGAGAAGAACAGTGTGGATGTGGCCATCAGCACATCCACTCCGTTCACACCGCTGCACTCTGCTGTCATCACTCCAGCCTGTGGTGTGAAGCAGCAGTAGGTAGAAGAGCTACACAGTCTTGGTATAAGGGAGGATATAGGAGGTAAAAGAGCTTACAACATAAGGGAGAGATAAAGAAAGTGAAAGAGCTTACAGTCTATTATGGTATAAGGGAGGGCTGCAGAAGATGAAAGAGCTTGCAATCTATTAGGGTGTAAAGGAGGATGCAGAAGGTAGAAGAGCTTACAATCTCTTAGGTAATAAGGGATGTAGCAGAAGAGCGTTGTTAGAATCTACTGTGTAAGTGATTGCATTGCTTATTTTGCTGATATACAGGTAAGATAGTGATGTTGCCTGCATCAACCATTCAAATGTCTGCCTTTTTATTTAACTTACTCCAGAAGCATAATAACATTTGGCTGCATTGGGCAGAAGTGGTTTTTTTTCCATTTTTTTTTTCTTTCATTAACCAGAGGTACAGTATGTTGTGCTTATGGTCAGAAGAATTTGACAATTTGTGTAATATAGTTTCCAAAATTCTATAAAGTTTTTCAGCTAGTTTGGTTCAGAGGCAAATCTTTATGAAAAAGCAGTGTCTCGGCCAGCATTTCTCAACCCGGGTTTCGCCTGAGGTTGCTAGGGGTGCCTTGAGCAGTTGCAGATTGATTTTCCACCTGACTGTGTAGACACCATTGTCACTTTGCATAGGCATCAGGTATAACAAATAGAGCCTCCTTTCTCAGTAAGTAACCTCTAACACCAGGGATCTTTTTTAGTTGTCTGCAAGGAAGGCATTCATTTCACTGACGACCAAGGTAAGAGGGTCCTTCTCCCACTCACCGCCGGTTTAAG